GCCGAGGGACCGGCCACAGCCCCGAGAGCAACGACCGCCCAGCCCGCGCCCCGGCTCCCTCCGCGACCAGAGCCCGCGCGGGCTCCGCCCACGACGCACCGGCCCGACCTGGCCCAACCCCGTACCTTCCGCAGCGGCCCCTGGCGGCAGGAGGACCGCGCGGCAGCGCCGGGAGCAGGAGCGGGGAGGGGGAGCCGGGAGGGGGGCGGTTGGCCTAGCTTCCAGCCCAGGGGCCACCTGCACCCACTGGCTTCCACCACGCCAAAGGAGACCGCAGGGAAAGGGCCTGAGAGCGCAAAATAGTTTATTTAACAATCTGCAGTGTAACAATTTGCATTTAGGAAAAATAGCAGCTTCTCCCGGAGGAAGCTTCTCCAATCAAAGTGTTGGCAGTTGACACCAAAGGGCAGGGCTGGGCCGGGTGGCAGAGGCCCGCAGGGACCAGCAGCTGCAGGTCCCAGGGATCACAGGGACATGGGACAGGACTCTCACTGACAAGGACAAGAGTGGACAGCACTGGGGAGGGCGCTCTCGAGCCTCTGCCGCACCGGAGCGGGAGTCCCCACAGCGCTGCGGAGGCTTGTCTGTGCAGTTTCATAAATAACGGAATCCTCTTCAGTCTTAAGGAGGATGTGAACCGTCTTGCAAACAGTCGACGAAGCCTTAAAGCTTGGAGGCCAGGAAGAGGTCTTCCTCATAGCTCCAGGGCCGAGCCAGCAGGTCACTGCCCAGACCTGGGGCGAGGAGACGCAGCAGAAACGGTCTCCCGAGAAGGTAGTAGAGATGGCGCTGACCCCCTCTGCAAGGTGGCCCAGGCGAGAGAAAGCGTGTCACCTGGCACTGGCCGGCCACTCCTGGGAAGAGCAGTGCTCACGGCGTGGCCACGCAGACGGTTCTGACACGGAGTCTGGCCAGAACGCTCGGTGCGGACAAGACCCAGATGGAACTGGCACTGCTGGCCGATCCGACGGCAGCTCCAGGCTCGCTCCAGAGACGGAGTCTTGCCTTGCAGGTGGGCGGGGCACGAGGTCACCTAGGGTCTTGACTAGGCCACAGGACAGAACCAGGGCCTCTCCGACCCCGTGCACTAGTGCCAGGCAAGCCTACGGTTCCGCCGAGCTGTGCCACATCACCGGTGCAGGTGAGCCACCCGCCCCGTGGAGGGGCCCTGCTGCCTCAAGTGGAATGCTCACTCCTCTCCCGACCTCTGAAAGGGGCTGTGGGACCCAGGTGGCTCAGGTGCATGGATGGTTGTGAGGGACCCTGACACCTTTGAGCACTGCCCTCTTACAGCAGAGACCCACCACTCGCCGGGATGCTCCTTGGTGACTGGGAGCATCACACCCCTAGGTCACCCTCGGTGACCAGGAAACCGACAATCTTTCAGAGGAAGACCGAGTGAGACTTTACTCTCCCCATCCAGCATGTGACAGGAACTGTGGAACCGATTTTCACAATAACTCATAAAGGTGGGCGGTGAGGGGGAGCTGCAGAGAAGGACCGGCCCCGAGAGGCTGCTGTGTCCGCTGAGGGCAGACGAGACCAAGGCGGGAGGCAGGTGGGCTGGGGACAGCAAAGTACCCTCGTGCTCCAGTGCGGATCCACGGCAGGGGCCTGAGGTCAACGCTGGGTGCTTCCCCTGGCCAGTCCTCCCTGGCCTGCAGCTCCCAGCATGGCAGAGGCCTGAAACAAAAGGAATGGCACTGACCCTGCTGTCCACCCCAGGGTGAGTGCACCCAGGGACAGCGGGCAGGGCAGCAGACCTTGCAGACACACCACGCACGAGGCGGAAATCACGCCAGGGAAGCAGCCAGCCATTCGGGAAGCAGCGTGCACTCAGCACTCAGGTAGTCCCAGGGCGGGAGTGCCAGGCGGAGTGGGCAGGGGAACCCGAGTCCTCACTCCCGACTGTAGGACACCCAGAGAAGTGCCTGACCCCATGGAGTCAAGAGGTAGTGATGGCAGGCTGGCACTGAGCTAAGTGGGGCTCAATGGCAAAACCAGCCATGAATTCAGAGGCGTGGCCTCTGAAGAGAGAGGAGGACCAGCGGCCGCTGCCTGTAACACGCCCCCAGAAGCTCGCCCCCAGATCTGCACCCTGGACTGCAAAGAGGAGCTGGGGAGCAAACCTGACTACCCCCCCGGAGCAGTGAGGCTGCGGGACAGCGTATGTGGGGGAAGAGGGGGCCGCTCACCTGAGCCAGCTGAGCAGGGGTGTGGAAGGGCACCGGGGGCAGGGGGTGGTCACCAGGAACCTGAGAACACAGGAAGGACACCTCAGCAAGGCCCCGTGCAGGCCGTGCAGACAGACCCTGGGCCTTGCTTCACGACACACTTGCACAGGCTGCGGAAGCAAGTGGACGACCCTTCGGGCACCACGGGATCTAGCTACTGCCCAGCTCCCAGAGGGCAGGGGCCAGAGCGGCATGCAGAGCACAGGCCTCGGCACCCCAGGCCGGGATGCGGGCACGGCACTGGGACGGCGCGTGTGTGTGTGCATGTGCGGTGGTTTGTGCGGTGGGGTGCCCTGGTCACTGCGGCAGGAGCGTCCAGTTAGGCCGCAGGGAGAAATGCATGCTGAGCCTTTCCGCCAGCCGGGGGACAACCCTTGGAGTGGCCATCCCCTGCTACTGGCCCCAGGTTGGCCCCGTCATGGCCTCCTGCTTGCCTGTGAGACAAGAGACCTTCCTCTAGGGGAGAACCCCCAAGGAGCCTCTTGCAGGGAGGCTGAGCCCCAGGCCCAGTCAGAAAAGCCGATTTAGGAAGCACCAAGTGGCACTGTCCCTCTGCTACTGCCCAGGGTGTGATCGTCACATCTGCCTATCTACTGTGAGCCCCTCGAGGCCACTGAAAGGAAGGCCACTTAGTCACGGCCTCACGAGGTCAGGGGGGGTGGGCCGGGCAGGTAGGCGCTACGGCAGCTACGGCGCACACGGGCCGGGCCAGTGCCAGCTCGGGAGGGACTACGCGAGGTGGAACCCGCCAGCCACGGGTACCTGATTAAGGTGCTGGCTGACTTCCCGCGATAACGAGCTCAGTGAACTACAGCGCGAGAGCTACAAAACAGCAAGAACACACAGGACAGGCAGGTGAGGGCACGCACGCCTGGGCCCGCCGTCAGCTGGGTTCCGCAAGTTTCGTGATGCAAACAGGTCAAGTAATTCCAACAGGAAAAGCCAGAGGTAGCTGGGAAGTGCTTAAGGAACAGCTCTCAGCTCTGAGGGACGGTTGTGGGGTCTGGCGAGCCTCTGGCCTGAGCCAGCTCCGTCAGGAAACCTGAGGACAGCTGCCCGCGGAGGGATGCTGAGGGCCCACGCCTCTCACACCCTGCTTGGCGCTCGGAACAGTTTGGCTAAAATTCTTTTTTTAAGGAATACAACACGTTCCTACTGCTTTTGTGTCTAAGCTGCCTTTCCCCCCAACTCATTAACTTTTTTTTTTTTTAAGTTTTGGAGGTTTCTGCTATAGGGCATGTGCACTCACCAGAAAGACAGAGAGACAGAGACAGCGAGCGAGAAATCACCCCGGGGGGATGGCCACACCACAATCCCTTTTCCATTCTCCTCTCGGGATCTTGGGCATGCATGCACACGCGCCTGGTGAGTTTAAGCCACCAGGTCCGGGACTCGAACCGTGGTCGGCTACATGGGAGTCCAGCGACATAGCCTTTACGCTAACTGCTGGTCACCATCGTTAACCTGTTTTTAAAGGAGGGCCAGGTAGACAGGAAGGACACCTGGCTTAGGCAGGGTTGCAGGGGCGCCCACACCCAGTCCTCACCTCTCACCACAGACTGTCCAGTCTGCAGGTGGGAGTTCAGAACCTGGGGCGGCAGTGTGTGTACAACTTAGAACCCGCCAGGGAACAGAGCACAGCAACCAGCAGGTCCTGGGACTGTCAGTCTCACACCAAGTAGAAAAAGCTGAAGGACACGCCGTAGTGGCACGGGTGACAGGGAGCTGCTCCTGGTGCTGGAGCCGTGTGGAGGCCCGGGTCTAGACCCTGGGTGGGCATGGACGCAGGCGCCAGTCCGCACACCTGTGGGCCGGACCACTGGGAGATTGGGGGGTGGCGGCAGAGCCCTGTCCAGAGTGTCTGCTTGTTCCCTTTCTCTCATAAAAGGAAGAAAGAAAAAAAAAAAAAAACAGAAAAAAGAGAGTCAGCTCCATGGCCTGGTAGTCATAGGAGCTGGATCCCACATGGTCGACACAGGCAACCATGTAGTTCGAGTCCTGGCCCCGGCAGCTTGAGCACACCAGGTGTGCGTGTGTGCATATCTGCACAGGCCCCAGATCTGGACAGGGTGGAGGCGGAGGAGGGCTGTGGCCTGACCACACCCCACCCCAGGCCCTTTCTCTCCTCTGATTTGTCTCTCTGACAAATCATAAACGAAAAATACTGCACTATCCCTCCGGCCCAGATTACCAACTGGCCGCTTCCATGTAAAACACTCCCAAGGAAGGTTGTGAGGAGCCCAGGGCCCGTGTGAGACCCCACTCCACAGGCTGTGGGCTCCAGACCCGGGACCCAGCACTTCCTGGCTCCTCCTGTGTGGCCGGCACAGCTATAGGGGCTGCAGCCCAGCCCTCACAGCCTCGAGACCCCTGCTGTACGGAGGCAGGAGCTGAGCTCGACGAGGTTAAGGGATGGGACCAGAACGCACCGCCATCTGCCCAACACAGAGACTGAGCTCCAAGCCGCTCGGCTTTCCCTGGGCCTGTGTCG